CGGGGGTGGCACCGACGACTCGGGTGAACTTTCTGTGGGGACGTGAACCTCCGACACGGGGCCCACGAGGCCTATATAGTTGATTGTTACGGGTTTTTTGACTCGGGGTGCAGTATTCCAAGTCGGGCTGATAGGCGGTTGACTGGGTGTTTCTCTTCAGCTGGAGCTGCGAAGGGGAGAGAGGTTGTGGAGTAGTGGGATGAGCAAGTGGATGCTGTGGCTGTGGTGCGGAGGTGGGTGAAGGCAGCAACGGCGCAGTACAGGCAGTTGACGGGAGGGAAGTTTTAGGCGGCAGAATGGGCGCTACTGGAGACGGCGATTGTCTAGCCGCCTTGAAGAGCGGTTCCGCGGGCGAGGATAGCCAAGAAAACTTATGTTTCTGACACTGGTCGACGAAGGTTGGCAGCGCGTCCGCAGTGTGCGAGTTCAGCTTCTGGTCTGACAGACACAGCTTTCGCTGCTGCCAGAAAAGAACACAGGCATAAGTTCCTCATACCCCCTATGGCAAAACTATCTTGTAGGGTCGCCTAAATATCTATTTTCCCCGCCAAACTATCGTATGTAATTTATGGTTTAACATTTAATTCTTGCTTAGCGAGTGTAAACGAATGCTTACATGCATTGAAAGTGAGCAAAAAATATTAAATTAAAGAAACTTATTTGTTTCAGTGTACTAAATAGAATCAAATCCATCAACATAAACTCCTGTTGCCCAGGCAACTGATGCCAATTAATGGAAACTCAATCTTATATTGGCAGGATGTAATGAAAAATGGGAAATTCGACCTTATATTGGCGGAATTCAACGAAGGGAAAGGAAATCCGGATTACTGGAAATGTTAAAGTAAGTTGATGTTATAAATCAAGGGCACATAGGACCTCTAAAGACAGTTCCGCCCACCCCATGATTCAAAACTGCCGTGTGCCTTCAGATAACACTGCTACCAGACATCTTTTTGCAATACTCAATGATAAATATTTCTTCACATTGTTCTGTTCCACTTAGCTACATAATAATAAGTTGAATGAGTATAGCGCACCTTGCAATGTGTATTCTAAGACAAAATGTTTTCTTAAGGCACACGCGAAATAGTTTTATCTAATTAGGAGTACCAATTCAACTTAAGGCTCTGGTACTCCATTGATTGGCTTTAGTTCTGGAGCAATAAGTTCAGTAATTTGACGCATTGGAATCTCACTCAAATCCATCACCAGAGGCGGTAGAGCAAGCTCCCATTAATGTATTAATACATGATAATTATACTACTTGTGCTATGGCAGTAACTAGTATGTTTTAATATATCATGAAGAAACTAAACTTTGCCCTGTTGTTGTCTTTGCCGGCAATTCTATCCGCTTAGACTACTAGCCGCCGCGGCTGCCGTCAGGACCCGAGAAATGAAACCCAAAGCAAAGTAGAATAAGTGAATTCCACTAGCGGTCGGCAAATCTTCAACAAAAAGATGAGCATGTGCTGCTTTAAATTAGCCTTAGCCGATGCACATAGGTAAGTAACGTCGATAATTCATATAACCGTCTCTGTCTAAGTGAAATTTTTGGCATTACGATACAGCTAGGCATATTTTTTGAGCTTATTAATGTACTGCATTTCTGGGAAGATCTGAATCACGATTTTCCACTGAAGGAAATTCTAACTGGAACACAAAGTTTGCGGATAAATTTGAAAGGATGAGTTTCAGGTACCAAGTGCCTCAATTATAGAAATATCAGCTCTACTGGA